AGGCAGGTCTCGAACCTGCAGGCTCAGGCAATCCACTCACCTCAGCCTCCCAAAGGCATGGGATTACAGGCTGAGCCACTGAGCCCGGCTATTGCTATAAATTTTCATAGGCTATAATGAACAGATCACTGGACACTGGTGACTAATCAATCAAAACATAGGTTTTTTATTTACTGTAGAGATGATGTCTGGCCAAGTTGCCCAGGATGGTCTTGAACCCCTTGGCTAAGCAACCCTCTCATCCAGCTACCAAGAAGGCGGAGACAGAAGGTTCACCTATGCCACTGCACTCTAGCCTTGGCAACAAAGTGAGGCTTTAACTCAAAATACAAACAAAAAACCAAAAACAGTGCTGGGGAACCCTCTGTCTTTAAGATCCCAGCCTGACTGGGTTCTATGACCTGAACGACAGTTTTGGCATGCTCTTCTGACTCTGAAGTTTAGCTAGCTTCTTAAAATCCCCCATCTGTTTAGTTTAACAATAGAAGTGAACAACTTAGCCAGTGGCAAAACTCTGAACATTTGGAGTGATCCATAAATGTAACAGACTAAACTGAGAAGTAAATTCTTCATTGCTAGAATCCAAGGAGAGGCCGGTAAACACTTGCCAGGCTATGGTTGAAGAGATTTATACATCAAGTGGGAGGTTGAATCAGACTTGTTCTAAGGGTTGTTCTCAATGGTGAGACTGAATTTCTACTCTTCAGAAGCAACTCAGAAAAACCCCGGGAGAGAGATAAGAACCACTACCTCCTTCTTGAGAGACCCTGATCAGGAGCTCCTCTGAAATACATACATATTGCTGGTGTCCCTGAACCCTTGATTTAGAATAAAACCCAGAATACTTCAGAGCTGCTTCAAACCTCCATCTAAAGGAAATGGGGAAAGAATGTCTTTCCCATTGCTGGGTTGCTGTATATACTGTTCATTGCTAAAGACTGCCAGGTAATGGAAAGATCCCAGGTCCCTCATACCATGAATTAAAATGGAAAGGGAGGCTGGGGAACAACCAGGGGATTGCTAGTAAGAAATGTTATTTAAAAATAATGTCTTTTGAGTTTCATAAAGACCAATCTGGTAATATGAAAAAAAAACACTCCTTCTATGAATTTAACCTCAGGAAATAAGAGAACAAGTACATTTAGCCAAATGCTCAAGGATATTTATGAAAAAGTTTTGCCAGTAAAAAAAGATTGGAAAAAACCTACATGTTCAACAAAATGGGACTGGTTAAATATATTGTAGTATAGTTGTATCTAGAAAAATAATATAGAACCCCTGAGCTCAGGCAATCCTCTTGCCTCTGCCTACCAAAGTGTTGGGATTATAGGTGTGAGCCACTGTGCCCTAGCCCCTACTATCTCTTAATGTAGGTCATAGTTTGGCTACTTGTGAAGACATTATAGGTAAAAGCATACTGGTTCTGCTGTTGAGAAATTGAAACTTA